AAAAAAAAAAAAAAAAAAAAAATCGATTTTTAGTGAGGCAATTAAGTTTATGTTCAAAATAGATAAAACTTTGATATAAGTGAGAACGAATTCGACTGATGAAAGCAATCAAATTTAGACTTAGATAGAAATTTGGCTAAGACTAACTGGTCTTACTACAAGATAGGTTGGAAATTATCTCCAAAATTCTTAATGTTACTTTCGAAAATTTTTAAGTATTTTTGAAACACGGTACTAATAGTAAGGGTATTTTTGAAATTTATAAAAAATGTTTTAAGCTACTTTCTAAAGGGAGTGTTAACGGTTTTCATCTAAAACTAAACTTCATAGAAATTTTTTTAAAAGTTTAAAATATTATAGAAAATTTTGAAAATTTATGGATATTTTTTAGAGTATTTTTATTAATTTTAGAGAATGAGAATAATTAAATTGAATAAGCAAAGGAGTAGAGAATGAGAATAGTTAATGAAATATGATATATACGGTAAACTATAATTTACTATTAAATTAGTAGGTCAAAAGAGTAATGGAGCTGTCACCACTCTATTACCGAGTGGTCCAATCTCTAGAATCCCATTTGTCAAATGTTGACGATGATCTTGAAAGCAAAAGCAATGGAGCTTCAATCTATAGAATACCCGAGCATATAAAGAAGGTTAATCCAAACGCATTCAAACCGCGGCTGATATCGTTCGGGCCATACCACCATAGGGATGCGCATTTGTTGCCATTGGAGAAGAAAAAACATTTAGCACTTTACAACTTTAAAAGGCGCTGCGGATTGTCCACTGAAGACATTGTGAGTGAGCTGTTCATCATGTTGGAAGATCTGCAGAGATCATATGATAAACTTGATGATAAATGGAAAACAGACCCAGACAAATTTTTGGAGCTCATGATCTTGGATGGTTGCTTCATGGTGCTTGTCTTGTCGAATGATGCCTGTAGAGAGATATTTACGAGTACGGATGTAGTGCGAGATATGTTGCTGCTTGAGAATCAGCTGCCCTTGATGCTTCTTGACAAGCTGTATTCCATGTTAAGGCAAGAGAATAACCAAGTATGTCTATCTCTACTTAGCTCAAGCCCATTCCTTTTTGAGCTGGTTAGGAAGTAGGTTCTTATTTAATAACCGTGTTGGGTTATTGCACTAATAAAAGTGTGAAAATCTCTTCCTAATAAACGTGTTTTAAAAATCTGGGGGAGAAGGTCGAAAGGAAAAACGCAAATAGGATAATATCTGCTAGTAGTGGGCTTACGCAGTTACATTAATTTAAACAAAGGTGACATGAATTTTGATTTAAACAAAGGTGTGTTGACCCTCCCGTTCATCGAAATGAATGCTAACGTTGAATCAGGCTTATTGAACGTGATGACATTTGAGAAGCTTTCTAGGATTGATAACATAGTAGGCTCTTACGTCATCTTGATGGGTAATCTGATGGAGAAAGATGAGGTAGATTCATTCAATCAGCTGGCTAGAGGCACGGTTTTAGAAAGGTGGGGCAACTACTCCTACATCTACGAATTGGCGAATGAGCATTGTAAGAGGCCATGGAGAATATGGTGGACAACTCTCAAGAATGTCAACTTTCAAAATCCGTGGACCATTATCTCTACTCTTTCTGCTATGATCGGTTTTGTGCTCCTTATTATCCAAACTCTATACGGAATGTATGGCTACTATCTCCCACGTCGATCTTGATCCAATACCACTCATATGCATTGGTTTCAATCAAGTTTTAGTTATTTTCTTTTTCTTATTTTTATTTTTTGCGTGTTTGTTTGTCGATATCCTCTCTGACATTATCTTCGTGATCTCAAGCTTAAAAAATTTCTCTTTTAAGCGACAAAGTTGTCTCCAAAACTTCCCAATTCATCATCTTTCTTGTACATCCATAGAAATATCCTATCGTGGCAACGGACAACAACTCCGATGCCTTGCTAGAATCCTCGAGTCTTCAGCGACCTGATCGAATTATTTATTTATTTTTAAATCTAACGGGACATTACAGTTCACAATTGAGTGGTCGTGGAATATGGGGGATAAAACTTGTAGACAGTTGGAGATCCCTTCAATTCCAAAAAAACAAAAGTATTAAAAAATAACAAAATAGGATGAAATTTTAAAAGTAACATTAAAGTCATTTACTTTTTTTATAGTTTTTTTTTTTTGTCATTAACTTATCTGATTGATTATCTCGAAATTTCTTAATGTTTCCTTGAAAGTTTATAAATATTTTTGAAACGTGATAATAACAATAAAAGTATTTTTAAAGTTTTTTAAAAAGCTTAAATGTCTCTTTGAAGTTTATAAAAATTTTTAAAACGAAATTTTTGAAAATGACCAACATTTTTTTAAACTGTTTTGAAAGTTTAATGATATTTTTTCATCTTTTTCTCATATTTTAAGGATATATTTTAGATTTTTTTTTTTTAAATTTAAAATATTTCAATTTATAGGTTTATCATTAATTTTAGGGGAGGAGAATAATTAAATTGAGTAAGCAAAGGAAAAAGAGAAATGACGGAATTTATATCAGAATAATTAAATTGAGTAAGCAAAGGAAAAAGAGAAATGTCGGAAATTAAATGAGAATAATTAAATTGAGTAAGCAAAGAAAAATGTCTGAATTTAAATCAGAATAATTAAATTGACTAAACAAAGGAAAACTAGAAAGGCATGAATATGAATATGAATGAGACAATTCTGAGATGTCAAGCAAAGGAAACTAACTATTTGTTATAAATATTAATCAAATATGATATATATAGTAAACAATAATTTAGTACTAAATCTAAATTAATAGGTCATAAGAGTAATGGAGCAGTCACGACCACGGAACAAAGATGCAGTGGTCGAGATTGTTACCCAAAATGTAAAATCCCATTTGGCAAATCTTCCAGATGATCTTGAAAGCAAAGGCAATAGAGCTTCGATCTATAGAATACCAGAGCATATAAAGAAGGTTAATCCAAACGCATTCAAACCGCAGTTGATATCGTTCGGGCCATATCATCATGGGGAGCTGCATTTGATGCCCACGGAGAAGGTGAAACATTTAGCATTTCGCTACTTTGAAAAGCGCTGCGGATTGTCCATTGAAGACATGGTGAATGAAGTGTGGGATATGTTGGAAGATCTGCAGAGATCGTATGATAAACTTGATGATAAATGGAAAACAGAACCAGCCAAATTTTTGGAGATCATGATCTTGGATGGTTGTTTTATTATACAAGTCTTGTTGGGTCGTTCACCTTTATGGACGTTGCCGCTTGAGGATGTACTGCGAGATGTGTTGCTGCTTGAGAATCAGCTGCCCATGAAGCTTCTTGCCAAGCTATGTTCCATGTTAATGCTAGAGGGAGAGGGAGAGCATAACAAAGTATGTCTTATCTCTACTTAGCTAAAGCCCATTCTTTTTTTAGCTTTCCTTTTTCAAAATCGTGAGGAGAAGCTCGAGAGAGAGAAAGTCCAAAGGTGACAATATTTGCTCGCGGTGTACTTCGGTCGTTACACTAATAAGGGTATAAAAATCTCTCCCTACTAACTGTGTTTTAAAAATCTTGAGAGAAAGCTCGAAAGGGAGAGCGCAAAGAGGATAATATCGGCTAGTGGTAGGCCTAAGCAGTTACATTAGTGTAACTATCTTCTTTGCTATCTTATTGCTTCTAACTAATATAATTATGTTTGATCATTTGAAACATGCCTTGTGATGCATGCACAGAATGTCGAATCGCTTGTTAGGGAGTCGCAGAAGATACCCGCCTATTTAAAGAAAATGTTAATGGAGAACGACTACTCACACATTCTAGATATGTATAGGGCCGAATTGCAGTATTACGAGGGGAATGAACAGGAACGACATCAAATCAGCCACACAGAAATGAGATTCACACACTTTGAAATGATATTCGGACAGTTGGGAATGAGACTCAGCCACTTGGGAATGGGTCATGAGATTCAGCTAGCCAGACGCTTCCATAAAGCTGGGATCAAACTCAAGAAAGGGTGCAACCTTAGAGACGTGGATTTTGATCAAAACAAAGGTGTGTTGAGCCTCCCGTTCATCGAAATGAATGCTAACATTGAATCAGGCTTATTGAACGCGATGGCATTTGAGAAGCTTTTAGGGATTGGTAATATAGTAGGCTCTTTCGTCATCTTGATGGGTAATTTGCTAGAGAAAGATGAGGTAGATTCATTCAATCAGCTGGCCAAAGGCACGGTTTTAGGCTTGTGGGGCCACTACCCTACGGTCTACAAATCGGTGAATAACCATTGTAAGAGGCCATGGAAAATATGGTGGACGACTCTCAAAGATGTCAACTTTCAAAGTCCGTGGACCATTATCTCTACTTTTTATGCTTTGATCGGTTTTGCACTCCTTATTATCCAAACCGTATACGGAGTGTATGGCTACTATCTCCCACGTCCATCTTGATCCAACACCACTCGTGTGTTTTGGTTTCAATCAAGTTTTAGTTATTTTCTTTTTCTTATTTTTATTATTTGCGTATTTGTTTGTCGATATCCTATCTCAGACATTATCATCGCGATCTCAAGCTTCAAAAATTTATCTTCTAATCTCCAAAGTTGTCACCAAAACTTCCCAATTCATCATCTTTCTTGTATGTACATAGAAAATCTTCCAAAATTGCATTCCAAAACAAGATATAAGTGTATGCTCACATTAATGGACACGATGGAGGGGAAAATCCACATAATATCATGCTGAACATAAATATTGTAAAGAAAGCGTCCGTACTAGTCATAACAAAAAGTATCCTGATGCACATGACATATATAAATGCATAAAAATCATAACATCAGTTTACGATGTAAGTCAAACCTCCATTCATTCATAACATGACGAGCTCATGAAGTAGATATACGTAATTCTTGTCATAACTTTCATACTTAACATAATTTACGAGACAATGTCATCATATATCATACAATCGTCCAACCAAGCAAGTTATAAAACCACTTACCTAGGTATTTTAAGCCGTAATTAGCTTAGATTTGCTATTCCGGGTCCAATTCAACCTATGTGGGCAAAAACTATCAGGTTAGGAAATATTACTTCATACAATCGTCCAACCAAGCCAGTTATAAAGCCACTTACCTAGGTATTTCAAGCCGTAATTAGCTTAGATTTGCTATTCTCGGTCCAATTTTATCAGGTTAGGAAATATTACTTCATACAATCGTCCAACCAAGCCAGTTATAAAGCCACTTACCTAGGTATTTCAAGCCTTAATTAGCATTCAACCTATGTGCGCACAAACTATCAGGTTAGGAAATATTACAGAGCTTATGAACCTGTGGGTTCCTTCTTTCTTACTCGACTCACTGCGACTTTTGGTGACACTTTTGGTGACTTACCTTTCTCTCTTCTATTTTTCGTTCCGCCTTTTCTCGTTCTGTTAGAAATCATGACTCTCCACAATGGTATGATATTGTCAACTTTGAGTATAAGCTCTCATGGATTTGCTTTGGGCTTCCCTAAAAGGCCTCATACCAAAGGAGAAGCAACATGGGACTCTCTCCCAACAATCCGGCCTCATACCAATGGAGAAGCAATGTGGGACTCCCTCCCAACAACCCTCCCCTCGAACAAGGTACACTATAAAGTCTCCCCTGAGGCCTATGGAGGTGGTCTTATAAACCCATGATCATTCCCTAAATAGCCAATGTGGGACTTCCTCCCAACAACCCCTTAATCGAGGTTCAACTCCTTCTCTGGAGTACAAAGTACACCCTTTGTTCCACACTTTAGTCAGTTTTGACTACACCTTCGATGGTCCCAACTTCTTTGTTTGACATTTGAGGACTCTATTGACATGACTAAGTTAAGGGCATGACTTTGATACCATATTAGGAATCACGACTCTCCCCAATAGTATGATATTAAGCTCTCATGGCTTTGTTTTGGGCTTCTCCAAAATGCCTCATACCAATGGAGATGTATTCCTTACTTATAAACCCATGATCATTCCCTAAACTAGCCAATGTGGGACTCCCTCCCAACATGCTTTATGACGGCAATCGCTCATTGACTGCTCCAGTTCATGTGGGTTCCTTCTTTCTTACCCGACTTATTGCGATTTTTGGTGCATTTCTCTCTCCTATTTTCTGTTCCGCCTATTCTCGCTGTCCAACTCTTCTTCGACGACAATCGCTCATTGATTGCTCCAGTTCATCTTCCCTCATAGCTCATGAGGGAAAGAAAACTTGCACAAGGAGATCGTCGTGATATCAGTGCCAAAAACGTGAACTTGCTCTCCAATGCTTCTTTGACACACATACATGCATGAGTTTCCCATGATTTACATTCAAAACATAGCATTAACATCATTATTTTCCTCATTTCATCTATAGCATATTCCATGCATGCATTATGTATACATGGTAAACATCACGTAATTCATTACATAATCTTTACATGGCAAGACATAACATTTCTTACCTAGTATTCATTTTGATCGTAAAATGATATAATAGATATCACATGCATACATAGCATAACATCACATTTCAATACATAAAGAACACAAGCATAGCATAAAATATTATGGTGCATGCAGGAGCCACGAGGCATGCACCATCATACATCATATAATTATCTAACTTCAACGGTAAGACTATTTACTTGGTTGGCCTTAGCCGAAGTTACTAATTACTCAGTAACTGTCTCAAAAACTATATTCCAACGCGTAGTTCTCACCTATATCAATTCATATGACATATTTAGGGCATATTAATATCTTAGCTAAACATGATGATTAATTTCAATATAAGCGGTTAAACTAGCTAAAATTGAATAAATAAGAGTCTTATTAACCTTAAATGCCTTAAATAAGACCAAAATGGCTTCATGAGGGTTGAAACCAGAAAAACGGTATAAAAATTTGTATATCGAGCCACGTAAGCCAAGAATTCAAGCGGCCAAGCCGTCAAACCGAGTCGAAGCGAGCTGCCAAGTCAAGCTAATGGAGCCACAAAGTCAATCCAAAAATAGTGCAGTTGAGGAGCTGATCACATGCTAGGCACGTGCTAAGTCGAGGGACGTGGGTCGACGTCGGGATCGAGGCACGGGTTGCCGGGTCACGAGTACAGGCCGCAAAATGTTGGGTCGAGCTTGGATGCGGACTGGGACCTTATGGGCTGGGCCAACGCAAGTCTGGGGTGCGTGGGTTGGGCGGACTCCTTTTTATATTTAATATATCATTTTTAATATATTAAAATTTATTAAAAACATACTCAAACATTAATTTTGGACGAAATAAAAATATCTCAAAATTCGTCTAAAAAATACTTTAAATTTTTAAAAATTTTAATAATATTTTTAAGCTTTCAAAAAATTGTCTAAAAAAATACGAAAACGTTAGTATTTTGATTAAAAAATACTAATGGTATTTTTTAAAACTTTTTTAAAAGTTCAATGGTATTTTTTTAAACAAGCCTGTGTTGGATGAAAGTATCACATTGACTAATTTAGGGTTTCAGTCAACATTGATTAATTTAGGGAATGATCAAGAAATACTATCTTCATTGACATACGCCTTTTTGGGAATGATCATCGGTTTATAATCAAGAAATACTATTTCGATTAGTACGAGGCCTTTTAGGGGAGCCCAACAAAGCAAAGTCACGAGAACTTATGCTCAAAATGGACAATATCATACCATTGTGGGCAGTCGTTCGAGTCGTTCATCTAACACTATTAACGATTTTCATCTAAAACTAAGCCTTAAAAAAAAAAATTTGAAGTTTAAAAATTATGATTATTTTTTCAACTCTATTTTTATTAATTTTAAGGAATGAGAATAATTAAAGTGGGTAAGCAAAGGAAAAAGAGAAATGTGGGAATTTCAATGACACATTCTTGGGTATCAAGCAAAGGAAATTAAGGGTCATTTATATATACACAATAGAGGATAAGTCTTAAGAGTAATGGAGCTGTCACGGCTACATAACAAGGATGCATTGGTCGAGATTATTACCCAAAATCTAAATTCTCATTTGGAAAATCTTCCGGATGATCTTGAAAGGAAAGCCAATGGAGCTTCAATCTATAGAATACCGGACCATATAAAGAAGGTTCATCCAAAGGCATTCAAGCCGAAGCGGGTATCGTTCGGGCCATACCACCATGGGGAACTGCATTTGTCTCCCATGGAAAAGATGAAACATTTGGCACTTCGCTATTTCGAAAGGCGCTGCGGGTTGTGTGTTGAAGACATCGTGAATGAGCTGTGGGACATGTTGGAAGATCTGCAGAGATCATATGATAAACTTGATGATGAATGGTGTTAGTGAAAGAGGGATTTATTGAATGGTAGATGAGATGATTGAATTATGAGGAGCAAGAATGCTCCATATTTATACAGAGAATACAAAAAGATATTCAGAAAATCTACCTAAAAATCTGCAGAAAATCTGGTAACAAACCAGTAAACAAATCAAAAATAAAATCTAATCAAATCAAAACTAAATCAAATAAAAAACAAATTGACTCCTAACCATCAGAAGATTTAAATCAAATACAGCAATCTAAACACGTAATCTTTTAACACTCCTCCTGGTTTAGATGCTGCAAACTCCAAGCTTTTTTCTGAAATCTTCAAACTTGCTAAGTGGCAGAGGTTTGGTAAGGACATCTGCAATTTGATCTTCAGATTTGCAATAGCAAAGAGTCACATCACCACTCTTTTGAACTTCTCGAACAAAGAATAACTTGATGTTGAAATGCTTAGTCTTTCCATGAAAAACTGGATTATTGGAGATTGCAATAGCAGCTTGGTTATCAACTAGTATCTCAGTGCTGTGTTTTTGCTCCAAGTTTAGATCCACGAGAATTTTCCTTAACCAGAGAGCTTGATTTACTGCGGCTGTTGCAGCTATCAATTCTGCCTCAGCAGTGGATTGAGCTACAGTTTCTTGCTTTCTTGAGCACCAAGAGAACATGCCTGATCCGAGGCAAAAACAGTAACCAGATGTACTCTTCATGTCATCGATTGAGCCACCCCAATCACTGTCAGAGAAACCAATTAGCTTCATTTCCTTGTGCTTTAAGAACTTCACTCCATAATTCCAGGTCCCCTTGATGTATCTGATAACTCTCTTTGCAGCTTTCATGTGAGTCTCATTGGAACAATGCATAAATCTGGAGAGAATACTTACAGCATTTACGATATCAGGTCTGGTTGTTGTTAAGTACATCAGGCACCCTACCAAGCTCCGGAACTCAGCTTCAATAACTTTGGCAGAACCATCATCTTTGACCAGCTTCTCCTTTTGATTCATAGGAGTATTCATTGCTTTGCAATCCTCCATCTGAAATTTTTTTAGTATCTCCTTTGCATACCTTTTTTGACAAATGAATACTTCATCTTGGGTTTGCTTGATCTCAATGCCAAGGAAATATGACATCAGACC